TAGATTTCAATCGTTTCCATACTACTTCAAACCGATTCATTTCTCTGATAGTACAGTATCAATAGACTTCCGGCCAGATATTGCAGCTACAGAAAAATCGCCACGTGAGTAGGTGGAGCAAACGTGGTAAGGGAAGACAGAGAGGAAGCCATAGGTCACACGTCATTCCGTGTTATTAAATTTATATAAATGGCTGAGCCGTCGATTCGTAACAGAGATTTGTCAGAAAGTCGTGTTACCATTTTCCCTCCCCACCCCCGTTCGCATCAACAAACTTTCGCTTTCAGGAATTTCGAACATCCGACAGACAAAATACAGTGAACTCGCTCCAATCCCCGAAAATATCCCTAAACATTAATCTAATCTCCTTATAACCCCAAAGAATCCCCTTGCAAATAATACTCCCAACAAAAGAAAGCTAGAAAAAAAAAAAAAGACAGAAGATACATATCTCTTCTCCCCTTTCCCGAAGACGTCTCACGGCAGATACACCAACTCGGTCTAGCGACCCTCTACTCGTCATCCCCCTCTAACCCGGAAATCACGTCGGTAGATTCCGATTAAATTTACAGAGCTTCCCCCGGCCATGTGCCACAAATTTCGCAAGAAGGAAATTTCGAAGGAAGTTCACCGAACCGCGAAGAAAAAAAAAAATCATTCCATCATCCTAGCCGGAGCTACATCGTCGGCGGGCAGAAAGGCGATGCAACGGAGCGCAGCCCGCGGGACCATCCGGACCGTTTCACCCCCAGGAACAGAGAGACCACCTCGGGGGTGGTTTTATATCGGCAATCTATTCTCTATCCAAGGGTCCCTCCCCTCACCCGGTAAATTGGTGGAAATACTTTATGCCCGGTGCCGCAGTCGCGGAATTGTTTGGCCCTTCATCCGCGGGACCGGGAACCGCGGATGCTGGGCGCGACATAAATCGGCCAGAGGCTGTTCGTCTTCCGGGATTTTACGAGATTCCGCCTGGTGGCCGAGGATAAAGAAAGGGAGAGGATTCCCGTCCGAGGCCAATAATCCTGCGGGAATCGGCCGCCTCCTGGCATGCAACTGCAGCTGGATGACTCCAGGGATACGGGGATGGTCTTCGGCGATTTATCCCTTCGGCAACATTTACCATGTTATCTGCCACAACTCGTATATATTGCATCGGACTCAAGGAGATTGGTATCAATAATTGAGGCATACGTGGGGTACTATTCAGGATGACCGCCATAAAAGTCCCGTAATTGAGGGAGGATTCGCCTGGAAGGGAATTTCGGCTTCCTTCGTGTTAAGAAATTCTCGAACTACTTGTATCTATACTGTTACAATTGTGAATAAAAGAAAAATGGATACACCTTTAGACACGTAAAGGTCTAGCCAGTTATAAATTCTACGTCTTAAAAATGAATATTTTGTTATAAATCTCTTAATAAGTATATATATCTCTTAATAAGTATAATAAGACCCCTGGATGTCACTTTTCTAGCCCCTTAAACTTGCAACGTGTGTTACAAAAGACATTTTCAAATAACGGGGTAGAAATAGAGTAAAATCGTGGGATGAATTGTTAATAAATGGTACTAGATCTGTGCAAAAAGGTCCGTCGAGATATAGCCGTCCAGGGGTTTGGAATTCCACGGGAAGAAAAGTACAGGTCCGAGGTTCTCGGTTGCAATTTAAATCGGCGTCAAAGATATTCCGCGCGTGTACGCAGGTCGTATGTTTACCCCGCAGTAATGGGCGCGGGTGCGTGAGGTGCTTCTTAATTTTTCACATCGGTCGGGGGGGATGTCTGCGGCGGAAAGAGTGGGCGGCCGGGGGTGGAATATCCGCCCTCGGTAGCACTTTGCGAATTCGAGGCGGAAGGAGGAAAAAGAGGAAGACGCACTCCGCGAGCGACCGGGAGTATCGAGAGAGTGCGAGAGAGACGGAGCGAGGCGCTAGCCAGGCGGTCTGAGAGAGACGCAGAAGACCAGGGCAGACTCCCGATACGGGCGAAAGAGACGGCGCGATGCGGGCTCCGCACGTCAGAGAGAGAAGCCGCGTTTAGCTCGGATCAGGCCGCGCGTAGCATGCCAACTAGCGCTCAAAGCGCGATCTTTTCTATTTTTCCCCTTTTCCCGGGGCCCCGGGTGTCTTTTATTTTTAACGAAGTCCCGACCATCGGCGGTCGGGACTCCTTCCCAGGGGTGCGGGGTACGGCCAAGGATCGAAAGTCGCGGAGATCAAAAGTGCTCGCGTGCCGGCCGAGCGCTACGATTTTACGACGGACATTTATTCCGCCGTTTATTGCCTGCTCGACGTAGAAGACAACGACGACGAGTCCGCCAATTAGCGATTCTAACGCCTTCCGAGTCGTGGAAATCCTCGTTCGCTCGTACTTCACCTGGAACCCGACACCTTTTCCTTTTGGTACCTTCCCGGACAAAATTCCATCCCAACGATACACATCAAGCCTTCTCGTATGTACACGAACCCCTAGAAAAATCTATCCCAAGACTGGAATTAAATATCCCGTTCTCCACCACTCTAACTCCACGATAGGGAAGATAAACTCGCGATCAAAGTCAAATGTAGAACTAGAGGGAAAAAAAAATACACCGGTCCGAGTTCACCCATTCCACGTGTATAGGCATAAGAAATGATTCGATTAAAGAACATAATCTAATTGAAACATATTTCCACCCCACGTTGAATTAAAAAAAAATAAAACGTGGCTTTTCGCGAAAGTCGCCCTAACTCTGTATCCATGCTTCTTTGAGGTACTTTCCAGGAGGCATTTAGAAACCTTTTTAAATCCCCGTTTATCAGCCGATTCATAATCCCACCTTCTGCGTTTGTTCGGAGGTCCCTTTCAAGGTTCGAGCCGAACCTTTTCAGGGTTCCATTTCGTCCGAGTAAGTTGCGTGGTCGGGATACGAGATTTCCCGCTTGCGGGCTCTCCTGGTGCTCCCTTTAAAGAGGCAGGACTTTAAATTCACGCGGGAAACGGCAGAAACTACTCCCACAGGACTCTCCTGGTTACAACAGGGTCGACACTCTTGCTGGCGTCTTTCTCTCTCTCTCTCCCCTCCTCTCGCAAAAGTTAAATACTCCGCTCAAGAAGTTCTTGGTGCCTTCTTAATCATTGACACTAACTCGCGCCCGCTCGGAATGTATAAATAACTAATTACCCCTTGACGCGGCTACGAATGCATAATTAAAATATCCATTACCGCGTCGCTAAAGGACTCGTTAATACATGTACGAACTGCAACCCGAGCGAGCCCTCCACCTACGAAACTTCCACCCCAAGTGGTCCTCCTGTACGGATCCTTCATAAACTATGATAGCTTTTATATACTACGCTCGATAATGTATGCGAAAAGTGCATCGATGCCTGCTGCCTTGCGAAACATGAAATAGTTCCCGCCAGTAAATCCTCTTTAGATAATGGTACCTATCGTGATAGTTTATGTAAAGACCCCTAAATATGAAAGAACGTTAATTTCCCTTTTATGATTTTAGTAAAGTTACCTACATCGTTCATGTTTTGCCTCCCGCCCTTTAATATCTCAACCACATTCATGCGTCAGAGTTATTAACTACACTTTAAGAATTTTATTAAATTTTAGTGCTAAGGCACTTGATGGATGCTTAACTTTTAATATTTTTTGTTCCGAGGAATTAATCGGTTTGCCCAATAGGCAGCTACATTTATACATCCACGTACGTGCATCTAGATTTAAGTGAACAAATTTCAGCAGCACTTCAAATCGAGGAAATTAAGTACGTAGGAAAGATTCCTCTGTTTCGCAAAGCAAATTAGGGTAAATCTCGCCTTTGTTGCGAGAACGCATTTGAAACAATCCTAAACCCAGTGTAATGTTCTAGGCATCGAACTTATACTTCGTTTATCTTTCTGTTTATGCCACGCATTCTTCTGTTCGGTTATGCCTTGGTTCAATGTTTTGGTTTTCGGTCCTGGGTACCAAGCATGAATGGAATGTTATCGTCGTAACGACGATCGGTACAGCAATTAACGTATTAAGTAAAGGCGATTACACATGTTACAATAAATCGAAATTTTCAATCCATGAAATTAAATGAAGTTCTATTATAGTCTTCACAAGTCAGTTAAATTTGTACAGATTTGCACATGCATTGTCGCCTGAAGGGGGCTAATAAGTAATGAAATGCGTTCTAAACAAATTAAGTATAAAATAAAATAAAAAGGTATACAGGAAATATTTCTTCACAGACTATTTAACCAGATATTTAACAAATCATTATGCAGAAGAAAGTTTTAAAATGCTCAAAAATGGCAAACTCATGAAGGCTGGAGATTTCTTTTTCTTCTTTGAGAAACAAATAAGGAAGCAACAATAAGTAAATATCTCTAATTCAATTTAATTTTTTTTTAAACTCCCTTCGATTAAAACGCACACCACAGCCCCCTAACTCCATACACTGATAAAAATGCTAAGGTAACTTTACATAATCAATCATTGGTTAATCCATTATCACGATAAATTGCAGTAAAATTACATTGTCTCTGTAACATCGCATTCATCATCCGAGTTAAATTGAAGAAAATTATAATGTAACGTTACAATAAATCCGAATAAAAATGCACTAACACGGTAAATACACAATGCTAGGTGTATTTATACATTTTCATTTTACTCTCTTCTCATGCGAAACTTAAGTGATGAAGTGTGTAAAATTGTACATAAATTTCCATTGATATTTATCAGTGTGAAGTTAAAAATACCTCTCCTTCCCCCCCCCCCTTACTTGACTAGCAATTTATTATCACATAGCATCATTACATCATGACATAGCATATTTATCATTTCCATATACAACTAGACTATGAGATACATTTTGAGGTTATACTGCGCAACGCATAGTTTGAGCTCATAATCGAACTACTTTTGAGTAACCATAATGGGATCTTAACCTAATTGGCGCCCGAGGAAAGAAACCAAGGCATAACGAACGAATTAGTTTAAATTTGAACAACTTACATCTAGATGACTTCTTTCTCCTTCGCGGCATTGAAGGTGCTTTAACGCGGCAGTGAATCCGGAATCCGCGACATCCTCTCAGCGGGGAACAAGACTCTTCCTCGGGAATCGTTCCGTGTCCGTGGCACTCCCTGTAGTGTGGATTTAACTCAATATATCGCGAAGGTACGTAAAGTCGGGAAGGCCGGAGCGGAGAGAAGGCTCCTCTCCGGCGCGAAAGAAATCGAGGACAAAGCTCACCTTCGCTGCGAGGAAGCAGTTAGAGGAAAGCGGAAGGTCGAAGGGGCGCTCCAGTGGCGGCGTCTTCCATCGGTTCGACTGGCAGCGGGACGGGACAACAACCAATATTGTGATTGCTCGGAGCTACGAGGGGACCCGGTACGCGTGTACTCGACGTATGACGACGAACACATACCTGCGCCCCGCCCGACTCCGCGGCAGCATCGGCTGACAGATTGGAAACACTCCGAGACTTTTATGGCCGGCAGTTTCCGCACTGGGCCATAAATCCTCTATCTCGCATGTTTATCGTACGGAGAGAATTTCTCATTTGCGTTAAAATTGGCCGCGCGTACGACGAGCCCAGCGCCATCTATGCCAGCCGGGGGCGAGCTCGATCGGCATCGGTGGCGCCACCTGCCGCGCCGCCTGCGAACCGCGATCGCGCTTCGCATCCCGGGACCGGATGAATATCCTCCTATTTTTATCGCCGCTTAATAATCGAGTCCGAGGAGCACCCTGCACGGAGGTAAGGGCAGAATTGCTGAAATACAACGTGGGCTATTGATAGGATCGACACTCTTTTTCTCATGTAGAATTCTTGAATTATATCTGTGAGGGAATTGCGACGTGACAAGGCTCAGGCCGCCGCCATTTTGAATTCTAACCGCCGGGGTCGCTTGATCACGAGAAGTCCGCGTCGATATTTTCTAAACAAGTAGATCAATTTATAGAGGCTATGGAAACGAAAATTCCGAATACAAAAGGTTGTCCTCTTCATACGACATATCAAGTTTTAACTTGTATGTAGAAGTCGCCGCTGGGAAAAGATAAGAAAGCTAGTCTTTGGGCGGCCGCGTTTCTTTTCGAACACATACTCTAATTCTTTCCTAATTTTTTTTTCGTGTCTTTATGAATAGAAGAAAACCCACATTCAACTCTCGTTTACGTTCTCGATGGTTTCGTTGCTGTACTGTACTGTACTATACTATACTGCGGCAGTTAGTAAAATCGAGAACGTTGATTCGAATTTTTATTCCCAAAGAGTTTTTTTCCTATTCTTTAATTCGATTAAAAATTTGCTCGAATTGAATTATTTTTTATTATAAACGAGTACTCATCCTGTTTAAATTCATACATTGTTTATTTTCTGCTTCATTAGGCGATCTATGAGTTCATGGCCGACGTTTTTTCGTTTATCACTTGGTCGAAGGTGCCACCTTATCTAAAGTGAGAAGAAAGATGCACCAGCTATGTTACATAATTTCAAAGCTTTTTATTAACGACATCGCGGGAACGTATTACGAATAATGGTGACTTGCCACGAGGGAGAAAAGATTCAAGAGAAGAGCCCTAGTGTACAGGTATTATCCAAATTGCATTATTCCCTGTTTGCGCGGTTATATCGTCCGCTGGTATATTTGGCATGGGGCGCCTCACCGTACATAACCAGTCAAATGGCTTAATTGCTTTGTCCACGCAATTACGAAATTGCTTACAATTTACAATCAGCTCGGGGCGGCGCTGATCAATTTTATGAATGGTCGGGCAGTTTGTCTTTTTCGTTCTGTTTGCCACCCTCCTCTCGTCCCGACGCAGTCCGACCCCGCGCATATCCGGATACTCCGACGCGCATAAATCAGCGGACCAGCTACCGGATAAATACATATTGATAAAATGTTCCGACCGGCATTCTCAATTAGTTCCGATTGTTCGATGTTTCCGGGAAATACTCTTGGCCACGAGTTCCAGCGTTTGCTGCTTCCTATTCCGCCTTTGCATCCCCTTCTGAATCTACTCCCAACGAAAGTGGTATTTATTACCCTATAATGATAATATAACCTTTGCATAACGTATGTAACATGTAGTGCAACATACATGTAACATGTAAGTAAGGTTCGTTACTGTTTCCTACGCAGCTACATAACACTATTATGAAACTAATAACATAACATATATATAATATATAGGTAACACGTTATGTTATGTTAATATTATAAATCTGCAATGCTGATAAGTTTGAACATCATAAATCACTGATAACAAACATCAACAATTTTCCGTAATTACTGCGTGCGATTTCCGCGTGATTTCGAGCATCAAAGTCCATGATTTCCCGAGCGAACAACCCCTCGACTATTTCTATATCATTTCCCAATTGCCTAATGGAATATTTAATCTCAGAAAAATCGCAATGACCATAATGTTAGTTCCGCTGATTTTAAGGTATTAATAATTTTATCTTTTTCGAGAAGATTAGCGCTTTACATTTCTTTGCCATCGGGCGTCTCAGACGGTGCCCACCAATGACAAGGTAATTCGGCCTCGTAAAACTCCCGACCGGTTGCGATCGGCAGCGGGGCCGTAAATTTCTCTACCCCGAGGGCATTTCGATTTTTCACGGATAATTGCGAGTAACGCGACTAATTTCATAGTGTTACCACGGCCCGGTGGAGCGCGTCGGGTTTTCGGGGATCGCTCTCGGGCGGGAATTTACACCGGACGCGGAATTAGAACGAGCGCGGCTCCGGACGCGAGTCTGCCTCTATGAAATACAATAAAGCGTCCATCGATCAGTCGGCAGGCTACAGGGAAAGAAAAAAAGAATATCAGCAGACAGTACCGCACCGCATTTCCCATCGGCGGATACAGGTGCAACGACAAAACCGCCGCTGGAGAGACGGACAGGTCCGCAGGACGAGGGAACAGGGACGAGAGGAATAACGCACGTGTGTCACGCATAAAGTCCTGGACCAGAGCACGAGGAACGACGGGTATTGATGCAAAACTTGCAGTGCGTTGCACTTCCGGTTACTGGGATATTCATAGCTCGTGCTTCCGGGCCTCGTTCAGGATTTCTGGCCCCCGAAATGCTCGATTCGGGGCAAAAAGTCCTCCACGCGAGGGCCTGAATGTTAATAGTCGTTTCCTAGAGGCCGATTTTCATTCTGCTACCGTATTCCTGGATTTTTCCCCCATAACTGGGTTTTAATATAACAATCATAGCTGTTATTTCCGATTTATTTACGAGGCGATGGGATTTCATTTTATGAGCTTATCCTTTGAGGGAGGATTATATGAATTAATGCGCCAAGGACGATTTTGCGCTTCTAGGAGGCCGTTAGAAATTCCTTTCCTTGATGCGATAGGACTTTAAAGTGAAATTGGAATACCGATAGTCGATTCTAGGAGGGGCACTTTAATTTTATGATCGGGGAGGGGAATATTCTCTAAAAGGAATATCTGGACAATGGGGCAAAATGTCGATGGCATTCTGCACGCTGACTTTAATGTCACGGTTGCCTAAGTGACGTTTTTCCTACTTCAAAAGGGAATTCGGGGGGATCTTTAACACCCTGAGCAACAATTTCTCTGAGTTCTGCGGAAACTGCGTGAAATTTGTAGCTGCAAGTCATGATAACAGGCTCTTACGAATGAACATTAATGTTAAAACCGTGAACGCCTATCCGAAACAAGATTTCAAGGGGAATATAAATAAGAGATCGAAAATCGCAGGAGAATACCTCAAAATTCTTGAATGCTTTCAGTAGAACTAAAGAATCTCAGCCCAAAAAGAAACTTACCGTTGACCGTATTGTAGACGTCGATTTCCCATGACGATAATCAGGGAAAAGAAACGAGGGCGCATGGAAGTATCGAAAACAATCGCGGAATTCCTAAACGGCGGGCAATAAAAACTTTTCCAATTGACTTCCCTTTAGCTTAATTCAGTGGAATCGAATGTAAGCAGGACGGAGGGCGGGAAAGGAGGACGAAAAGAAATAGACATGGAGGAAGCGAGAGAGGGGCGAAAGAAAGCGGTCGAATCGGCTTCGGGGTCGGGAAAAGAAAAGAGCAGGAGGCAATTCCGCCCGAGTCGGCTGCTCTTAGGATTCGGGATTTCAATTTAGCCCCGGATCGGCCCGATTCACCCGTTCGAATGGCTCTGTTCCATTTCGGGCCCGGGTTTTGTTGGCACTTCGGGATTCGGGCCCTGCGCCGCCCTGGAATCCTTTCCTCTCGCCTCCTGGCGCCATCCGGAGCCCCCGAGGAGCCCTGGAAAGGGAAAGGGCGCCGAAAAGTTTCGGGAATCCGTCGGAAAACAGAACTTCCTCCGAGGGAAGTTCCCGGGAACTGTGCCTCGGACTCGGTGATCACTTCTTTGTTTGCCCCCCCGGAGTGCTTTCCGCGGTTTCCGCAGCGCGGGCCGCAACGCAAGAACCTCCTCCCGACTTGTCCTTATGACGCGTATGTAGAGCAGATATTTATCTATGTACAGATAAGACGGGTGGATCGTGTAACGATGAGATCATTAAGGTGATGCGTCCTTATTATGCGTATGTAGGGTAGGTATTTATCTACGTACTGATAGGGCGGGTGGATCGTGTAAGAGTCGTGACGTCAAAGAGGTCTCATTTATGACACTTTTCTCCGGACCGAGTATACCGAATCGCTTCCAAACTACAATGCCAATACGGAAGCTATAAGGAAGGTCCTGACCCGCATAAAATTTCATATTTTATAAGAAATGTTTAAAATGTCTATAAACAAATTTCAAAAGACCTACACAATTGTCCTGAAATCATAACACGATGTTAAGGAATCATAAGTTCATCCAGAAACACGTAGTAAATGGCTAATAATTCACATTTAAGACGTGAAGTTCATAATGCTACTGCAATCTTACGTAGTAAAAAATTAAATGGTGAATTTTGTGGAGATTTTTAACACCGTGTCTCTTGGAGAAGCAACGTTTCAAGAGCGCGTAGCGCGGAATGGCGTCATTTTTACGAGGTTCGCCATTTACATACTGAATCTCTTTATAATTTCTATAGGTTCCGGATAACGGGCGGAGCGAGACGACCAACTTGCTCGGAGAGATGCAAAATGGGATCAGGGAAGCGAAGCTAAGCTCCGGGGTGGCGGGTCGGAGGGGTGAGAAAAGGAGAGGCGGAGCGGATGGATATCAAGGTGGGTCTCGCAAAGTTTCGGTAAGTCTTGGAGCGTTAAAGCGGAGCGTTAGCCCGGAAACTGGTCGGACGACCCCGCCAATTTGACGTCGCTTTCAAAATCTGTTGTCCTGGAAGGGAGCAACGACGACCTGGAAATGGGCTGACAACGGAAAGTGCCGGAGCTGCGAAGAGCGGGATCAGGAAGGAGGCACTAAGCGACCCGAAGAGGAAAGAAGAGAGGAGGGACGGAGCGGATATCGACGCAGTTTCGCAAAGTCTCGATAAGTCGGCCTCGGAGCGTTTACTTCCTGGTGGATGAGGTCGGGTA